CTAGAAAGTGAGAAAGAGTGTCTTTGTTTTACAAATAAACATTTAACACATTACAAAGGATTTCCAGAGTACTTTGGGTTATCTAAAGAGATGGCAGAAGCTGCCTGCTTTTAGGCAGTATTTGTCTGATTGAAGCCCTTTGGCAGTTGTATTTTAAAGCTCATTTGCTGACTGCTGCATAGCCAAGCATTTTCTTTAGTAGGATCTCTCCACATTAGTGATGACATTTTTCTGATCATGTAAACAGTTTTTTTTTTTTTTCTAGGGAACACCTGGGACTGAGGGGGAAACTGGAGCTCTAGGAGATCGGGGGATTAAGGTTGGTTTTAGTGTGCTCTGATATTGTACACATGGCCTGCACTCAGTCGAAGCAGCCATTTTGTGGGCTATCGAGGATACAGTCTACGGACACAAACTCATGTAGGACATGGGAAATTGCTAATTAAAGAAAATCTAAAGCAGTTTTGTTTGTTTTGCATAGAGCAGGGAATGGATTATCTCTATGTTAGGGGAGGTTTTTGCCATCCCACTTGGTAGAAATGTTTTCACTAACCTCCAAACTGAAAGGAAATCCTATGTTAGACAGTGGTCACCAGAACTGATGACCCCATTGAAAGATTTCCCCTCTATTTCTGTGTTGGTGACAGCTGTAACATGTTGGATTTCCCATCGCCATTAGTCACCAGAACAAACAGAAGGGGAGAATCTCCCCAGAGAGATTGTAAAAATTAAAGAAAAATCTCTGACCACAGAGTTTGAGGTATATTTTTTGTCACTAACATCTATAGTGGATACAGCAATTGTGTGTGTTTGGTAGAATGCTTCTTAGTGGTTTAATCAGTATGTTAATGTGGTGGTGTTTCTTGAGATTTTTCTTTTCCTGTGGTCGGCACACTATTAATAAAAGTCTATTACTGTAAACAGGATTGAAAGTTCCTAAAAACTAATAATATTGAGTTCTAATCAGAACATGAATAGAGAGGAGATCTTCCTAAGGGAGATGAAGCTCTCTAAGAGGGGATTTCCCTAACAGAGATTTCCGCTCAGTTCCTATTGTGTCTACATGACAGGAAGTGAAGGGAGATTTCAGATGGCATAAAACTTGTCAGGGGTTTTAACTAATTTCTTCTGTTTTGGGGCTTTAGATTTACTTTACCACAGGAGAGTGGTAGAGGACTTTTTCTCTAGTTAATTTTTCTTTGATTTCAGGGAGACGATGGGCCTATGGGTAATGTTGGGGCACCAGGAGAGCCAGGCTTACGGGTAAGTTAATTGTGTTATCAGTCCCATGTAATGAACGGCTTTTAGATTGTCTTATTTATTATTTGCTTTTCTCAGCGGTTGCCATGGGGGAGCAGCTGATCTCAGCTAGCCAGACAGCATTTTGCCTGCTGACAGATTTATGCCCTTCCTTCTAAATTCCAAAGCACTTCCAGGCTGAAGTTCATAATTTTGTATATTTTCCATATTTATATAGTAGCCTGACTTATTATGTGACACTTTCGGCAATACAAAGAACCAATCCCATCAGTCCCTCCTAGTCCTATTCAAATAACCTGTCTAGCGTGCTCCAAGCTTTTCCCCAGTAGAAGTGTCAGAAGTATCTGTAAAGGAATCTCAGGCCATCTCAAACCAGCTATGATAGATTAGGTATAGCATGGCGTTTTAATACAATAATAATTAAGGAACTATAACCGTAATCTTAAAATTCCAGTTTTGTATGTTAGTCATACTCTAAATAGAACGTAACATCCATATCATACCTATCTAACCTGCATTCAAGATATCTGACAGCTTTACCCATGTGCCCCACTAAACTCTGCATTTGGTTGGTCAAGCTAAAAGCTTGGCAAAGATCGCTCTATAAGTTTCCAACCACATGTAGACTGATTTGCCCGTGTTTGTTCAGAATGGCCATTGATAATCTGGCATAGCGGTAACCCTCCCCAGTGATATTCTATTTTAATTACATCTGTAACCATTAGAACAATAATCAGCATACTTGATGACTTCTTTTGGCAGTATTAGTTTTAAGGATCAGTCCAGCCATAAGAAATATTTTAGTGGGCTAAACACAAAGTCAAACCCAAGGGCTGCTGTAAGAGCTATTCATTATAGCCTGTACAGCGGCCGGGCTGAAGCCATATGCTTCGGCTTGACTGAGACAAAGTGACACCCGAAGCGGAGCGAACGGCCTGTCGAAGGGCCGGCCGTAAGCCCTGCAAATTACAGACGGGCGGAGCCAGCAGTGATCTCACGGCTGGCTCCGCCCAGTTATAATGACAGATCTGCATCCCCAAATTACCTGGGGATGCTGATGTCACGGCCGGCTCCGCCCAGTTGTTATTTATTGGCCGGGACCTGCTAGAAGACTTACATTTTTTTTTATTATTTAATTTAAAAAAAATGATTATTCAACTTTTTTTTTTTCCTACTTTTTTCACTATTTGCTCTGTGGTACCGAGCAGAATAGCCGAGCCGAATACTATTCACTCACTGCCGTTCGGCCCCTTTGTGAATAGGGGGAACGGCCGCCGAGTGAACTGCCTGAGATTCGGCTCAGTCGATCCAGATGTTGGAGAGCATGTTCAGCTGACCGAAGTGCAGCCGAAGGCAACCGATGTAGGGCTGATTTCAGCTGATGTACAGCTAAAATCAGCTGTACTGAGCCGTAGTGAATAGCCGAACACTGTTCGGCTCACTGCACTTCAGCTCGGTTATTCACTCAGCTGCCTCCGGCAGCTTTGTGAATAACCCCCTTAGTCCTAATAGGAGCCCGGGGGGTTGAAGCAGCTCTTGGCTTTTTATATGTCTTTCATACTTCAACACTGAGATCTCCTTGCAATAATTCTTAACTGTTCTCTGTCCTCCTGAGAGTTTTGGATGTTCCAGCGCTTCCTGACTCATTCTCTATCATGTAAAAAAAAAAATTTAAAATCCAAGCGGAAGAGAGGGACATCTTCATAGCAGGTGTATAGATTTAGAAACTCAAGGGCAGAGATCTCACCAGTGTCCCATAGAGTCCCATATAAATATAAGAAATTGTCAGGTGGTTTAAATCTATAGCATCTGCCAAAGAAAAATGCAGTACATATTTGCAGTGTTTTTATCATTTTGAAGTACAGAAAAATACCCGTTGATCCGCTAGAAATCATACAGCTCTTAAGCCCTGTTCTGGGCTGACAACACACAATATTTTTGTAGACTGAGTGGTGTCAGCCCTGCCCAATGTCTTCAGCTAAACTACTCAGCTACTCCTACTTTTACATCTCCACAGCATAAAGGCTAATCGTTCTGTTGTCCAAGAGAAGCACTAGGAGGACTCTTTAAAATAAAACAGGAAGTGTGCAAAGAACACAGGTCAGCTCTGAATTTCTGACATGATAAACATTTTTTTTTCACTTAAAAACAGATGTATTAAAATACTTCTAATGGCATATTAACTAGACCAAAAGGAGGCAAATAGGAGAAGATAATTATCAAGGTTTACATACGCTTTAAATTTTAAGGGTTACAGAACAGAACTGATTGCAGCTAGCCAACTCAGTAACCTTTTACTTCCACTACATTTTCTTTTCCTGCAAGCAAATTATTCACTGCAACCAATCAGCCTCTCATTTTAAAATCTTACCGGAGCAAACTGAAGAGAGATGCTGATTGGTGGCCGTTGGAAACTGCTCCAGATTCTGTCTGCTCCAGTTTTGATAAATTCCCCCCTTTGTCCTTTACTGAACGAATGTGATCAGCAGCCAGTAAGCTGCCGATTTCTTTCAAACGGTATGTCAATTTGGTGGTTCCAGCGCTGCTCCCCTGCATGGCTTTGTGAATGTGATCAGGCAGCCAAATGACTGCTGATCACATCCACAAGTCTGCAGTGTCCCTCAGTTTTGTGTCCATTGTCCCCCTACAGTGTCCCTTTCTTCTCCCCCCAATACAGTGAATGTCCTAATCACCGGCGCTGGCTTCTTCAGTTCTCATCCTGATGGCTGTTCTGACATCAGCTGACTGATAGATTCAGCTAAACAAATGAAATAAACACATTAAATCATGTAAAAAAATTATCTCCTATCCCCATTGTTGTGCACCAAAATGCACATGTGTTCAGGTGCGCTGGCAAGATACATTGGGGTGCCATTCAAAACGAATGGCACTTGGGATAGTCCATTACACGTGGGAAACCAGCCTCAGGGCATTTCGCTTAGGTTGCTAATGTACAGTTTTAAATTTCTTTCATTATAACAATTTCACAAAAAAGGCAACAATCTAAAATGTATAAATATTTTATATTTATTAACTACATACAGCTTTCTCTGTTAGATTTAGTAAGACGTTTGGAAGTTATATTGTATTCGTGTACCCTAATAATGATTGCAGTGTATTCTTATTGAAAATATAGCTTCAATAAACAGCTATCATGGGGTGTGTAAAATCAATAACTCTACAGGTCCTGTGCTTTCAAGAAATACACTGAGTGGCCAGATTATTATGACCACCCCATCGGTACTTTGTTGGGCCACGAGATAACTCCACAAGATGACTTCTGCACTCCACAATCTGACACTGCACTGTTGCCCTTCTGTTGTCTTCTGTTGTCTTGTACCAGTCTTGCCACTCTCCGTTCTGCCCTAACATTGACTAGTCGCTGACGGCCACAATTCCCACGTTCAGACCCAGATTTTCGGCTGACAGTCCAGTCTTTAAACACTTTAATGACAGCTGCTCTTGAACATTTGACACATTCTGCTGTTTTGCTGATACTCGCTCCATGGCTCAGAGCGCCAACAATCATCCCACGTTTAAAGGCTGGTAAATCGTGTTGTTTCCCCGTATCTTCAGAAAACAATCACTTCTACTGTCGTGGTAAACAACCTGCTTCCCTATTTATAATGGTCTGGCCCTCTAGCAACTTTAGCGCAAAATTATAGGTAATTATAGCTAATTTGCCTACAAACGTCAGGTGGTCATAATAATCTGGCCACTCAGTGTATATGGTTTGGTGGGTATTTTACTAATTTTCAAAGCTGTAAATAAAAAAACTGTAAAAACAGCAAATACAAAGTAAAAAACAACAAAAATGCTCGGCCATTTTAGGTGAAAAAATGGTGACAGGGCCGGGCAGCGAAAGGGTTAAACCAATCAAATAAGTTTGGCTTGTGTAAACTATTTATCTTTGTTTGCACTGAACAGGGGGAACCAGGTCCACCGGGGGAAGAAGGTGTTCAGGGAAAAGATGGCCCAAAGGTAAACTCATGCCATCCTGTCTTTCTGTCTTCATTTGACATTTGTTATATTACGCAATGCGTTTTTTCTTTCCCTTCAACTCTCAGTAAGTGTCTAACGTACATAAGTGCTCTGACTTGTGTTAAAGGGAGAACCGGGAGATTTCGGCCTTCAAGGAGAGACTGGTGAAAAGGGAGAAGCTGGCATAGACGGAAACCAAGGGTCTGTCGGAGGGCCTGGCATAATGGGATTACCTGTAAGTAGCTTTGATGCAGTTCTTTGAGCAGATACTTGAGCTTTTCTTATCTAATGCATCAGAAATACAGAATAATAGCACGGAGCCTTATGAGGATATGTAGTCATCAGCTGAAGTTTATTTTAAAGCCAAATCTTAAAGGAGAACGATGAGGTGAGTGAAAATCACTCATCCTCATAGTTCGTGCCGACGTGTGACAATGAAACTATCGGCTCAATAGATCGGGAAGTGAGCGAACACATACCGTCGCCCGTTCACTTCTCAATCATCTCCCTGCAGAGAGCAGTGACTGTCAGTCATCACTCTCCGCAGGGATTCCCCTCTCCGATCCTTCAGCGCTGACTGGAGGAACGGACGGGGGAGGTTGCGGGCGCAGCTGGCTCTGCCTCTAGATAGGCAGTGCCCGCTGCCATTCACTACCCCATAGTTTTCTTTTAAGGGTCTTTTTATCGGCGCTCGGGTATCACTATCTTCTCTTCACTGGACACTGCTGTTGCTATGCTTACTCCACACAGTGCCTGCATTTTACAAGCCATTCATAAAATGCAGGTTGTGGTGTGGAGCTTTTGTTGTCCTAAGGAATTATCTCGACTCAATACTTCAGAGAGAACTTCATGAATGGAGGAGGGGCTGGTCACTTAATCCTGATAAGTCACATAACTAAGCTTTCCTCCACTCTAGCTTTTTTTATGCCATTCTGCTTGCCTAGGAATCGAACATTTTCTTTTTTTAAAGCATCAGTACAGCCT